CATTTTTTAGACAATTTTACGCTGAACAAGATACTTTTTTAAATGTTTTCCTAGCTTCGGGCATTCATCAGTAAATTCAAAAATTCAGGGACATGTTAATTTTTGCACATTTCACGAAAACTTCAAGTTTAGTTGTGGAGCTGGGAAATCGTCCTGGAGCCGCCCTGTAGCAATCGATAAAAGATTTTCATAAGCTTTCAATTGGTCATTTTCCACTTTCCCCAATTTCTCAAATGTTTTCGAGTTAGTCGCGATTTTTGGGCAAAAAACGAGGTTTTTTACGTGCTCATGGGAAAAATCCGATCACTCTCTCTCTCTTCCGATTTTCAAGAATGCATCAATTTTGAACCGGCGTGTTTTCGCAAATTTTACTCTCTACGATTTTTGTTCCTAGGACTTTTTCAAAAAGTCAACAGGAAAGCGACAATTCTTATTTTTTCTTACTTTGACCTTTTGGGATGCTGAATGCTTCTGCTGTCCATAACACTTGTTTACCTCGGAAATTCAATTCCAATTACGGAAATTCAAATTTTATTTCACATTTCTTTGGCCTCGAAGAACGTTTTGAAACAAAGGTAAAACTGAGAGAAAGAGGGAGAGAATGATCGGACGTAAAAAAATCACGTTTTTTCTCAAAAATCAGGAATAACTCAAAAACTGTTGAGACATCGGGCAAAGTGGAAAGTGACCAATTGAAAGCTTATTAAAATTTCCTATCGATTGGTATAGGGCGCCGCTCCAGGACGATTTCCCGGCTCTACAGTTCAATTTGAAGTTTTCGTAAAAACTGCAAAAATTAACCAGTTCCCGAATTTTTAAATTTACTACTTGAAGGAAGGAAAACATTTAAAAGCCATCTTGTTCAGCGTAAAATGTTCTAAAAAATGAGACTTAGAGCAGTTCTGTGTCTGAAACAGCTAAGAAAATATGCGTTTCCAAAGTTGGCCATTCTTTCGAGCAAAAACCAAGTGGTAGGTTTTTTTGATGGGCTTATAAAAAATATACCAATAAAAGTATGTCTTCAGAGTGTAATTGAGTGTAAATTACGAAAAAAAATTAAATAAAGTTTAATTTTAGATCTCTGAGACATGACTGATGAATGATTCCTCACGTGCCCTTTGTCCACCAGACAAACGTTTATTGAACTTTTGGGATTTTTATGTTGCAAGATTTTTTGACATAAAGCTGGCCATCGTCACACTGACACTGTTTTAAAAAAGAACGAATGGACTACAATATTTCGATCCTAAATTCCGTGGTCGGTTTTTTTTTATGGGTTTATAAGTAAGTAATCGACCAAGAAAAGTAGATGCCTTCAGATGAAGATGGCCTGGATGGAAATTACGAAAAAATTAAATAATGTTTAATTTTAAATTAATTAAAGTTTTTAGTTGAGATAAAAAAGTCAATGTCACGAGCCGGATTCGAACGCACGATCTTCGGCTAGATACGCCGCTGCTCTACCACTTGCGCTATCGTATTTCGAATCGGCGTATCTAGCCGAAGATCGTGGGTTCGAATCCCGCTCGTGACACTGACTTTTTTATTTCAACTAAAAATCTTAATTAATTGAAAGATATTAATTGGTCAAGCGGACCACGAAAACTAGTGAATTTAATTTTAAATATAACTTAATCTTTTATTAATATGAATGTTAAACAAAATAATGTTCAGACGAAATAGTTACTAAGGAATGAAACCTCGAAGCCTGTTTTCACCCAATGTAAACATGATGCAGAGCTGTTGAAATGACCCAACATCAAGTAAATTTAAGCTTTTTACACCGTGCCTATTTTTGAACGCTTCGTCGAACGTGTCCAATCGTCAAACCAAATTGGGGAAATTTAAATATTCTCCAGTTCTTCGGGAATAGAAGGGAAATGTCTGCAGGTGTGTGACATTGGCTTACTTAAGACCTGTTGGTTGCAGTGGATTTTCTTGCGACACGGAGGATCGGTCTACACCTAGACCCACATAAAACGGCCTGTTTTTTTTGAGATGTTTCTCTACTGGCCAAAGTCTGGAAGGAATGAGCACCTAGGAAAAAAGCCGGGGCCAATTTAGGGTTTTAAACTTGGATTGTTTGCCTTTATTCAGTAGGTATGATCGTACGAATCGTTAATCGTAAAGATACTTAATTGGACAAGATCGACTTCGGACTTCTTCCTAAAGACGAACCGCAAAACAGAAACTGGCTTGACAAAGTTTACCAGAAGGCAACACAGTCAAGGCAGGCGATGTGTTTCTTGCGGCTCTACGTTTCTGGATATTTCGGTCTGCCTATACTACCTTTTTTTGGACTGGTTTTCAGTTTTTGCTTTCTTCAGAGGTTTTCCACAACAAGTTAAAAGATATGATTCTTACCTGATATAACATCTTATAAATTAGAACTTCAATTTTGTATTAAAAAGAATAGAACTTCTACAAAATATGTGTTTGTCATTGACATGTAGAGTAAAAGGCCAAACTACCTCTAAAGGAGAAAATAAAAAGCCATCAGGAGCGAGAATACTTACAAAACTAAAAGCAGATAATTTTATTAGTTTTGACGGCCCAAGGCTTCTAGTAATTTAATAGGTACAAAAAATGAACCGAACGTCCTGTATTGGTAGTTTTAATAAAGTAACAAGGGTAAAAGCTAATAATGGTATAAAAGCTTTTACAAAGGCAACTAAATTTTTCACTTATAATCGTTCTTTTGATTTATATTTAGACTGGCATTTTGTCTTATCGGAAGAGCACATCAGTTTAAAAATCACAAGCCCATTTAAGGCTGAGAACACAGGGCCAAGTTTCGAAAATTTAGTTTGCTTTGACGACATAAGGTCGTCTTTGAATTTAATGGATGACTTATCTTCTTTTTTTTCTGTCGAAAGGTCGATGTTGAATAATACGTGGATAAGGGGAGACTGGTGGTGGCATTTAGACGTAGGGCTAGGTGTGTGCTGGTCTTAAGCAACATCTCTTACTCAATGGTCGGCGTTTGGCCAACCGGTCATCCCAAAAACGCCATTGTTTTTATCCCTAGATTAAAGACGATCGATAGTGAAGAAAACCGATCAATCCGAGATTGACCGGCGGTTTCACCTAGACTAACCAAACCGGATAGAGGCGAACCGTCTGTGACTCAGCGAAACTGAGCGGGCCATGTCAAATTCCAGCGGTCTGGGAAAACATCGTAGAAAATTAATACTTTCAAGTAGCTGCCCCTTTTTTCAATCCGCGCTGTTGTAAATGGTATTTTTTTCTTCTTATATTCATTTGTAACACGAATGAAATTTATATATGTCGCAAACGTTAGCACACCTGTTTCAAATAAGCGCCTTCATAATATAGTGAAGAAACTTTCAATTTTATTATAAGTCAGTCTACGATAATAGGCGGGCCCGAAGGCATACCTCAATTATAATAACAATCAAGTTCATTCTAGGTAAATTATGTAAAAAATTATGATTGCAAGCATAAATAAAACATTTGCATGGAAATCATAGTTTTGTGTGCAGGATTTCAAAATAAGACGGCCTGTTGTAATTTTCTACAAAATTACATGAAAAAATCTGTAAATAAAATTTAAGAGCTTAGGCCTCGCTTTTAAAATAAGCATATCTCCAAGAACGGCATGGAAATATTTGATCATTTTCATAATTTGATTTATTGTACAAATGATAATTCTTTAACACAGCATTGTCTTATTTTCGAAATATTTTTATTTTAAATTATCTATACCGTGATTCCAAACGGTTTTCAATTTTATGTTGTTCAAATCAATTTTACCATTAAACGGATTCTAAAATTCTTTCTATTATCACTGTTTTGGTTTACACAACATCGCAGACCCACCACCGAAGGTGACGAGAAGGCGAAATGTGTCTGTCAGACCGACCAATTTTATCCATTTTTCATCTGGCTGTTTTCCGTTTTTTGAAAACTCTGAGTTGGTTACGCACTAGAGGTTGTAAAATTCCCTTAATAAAATGACACTGGCTGGACAAAAACAAGGTTATAAGCGGGGTGAGGCTGACTACTTCCATTTTTACGAGTTAATATTATCGGTTGATCCCAATCATTTTGGACTGCCAGTATGGCTTCAGCCTGATCGAATCTGCATCTGCCAGACCAAACAACAGATTTAAATTACAGGTTGACCACCCAAAAGAAAAATTTCTCTTTTTTGTCTCAAGAGACTCCCAGTCTATAGGCATGGCCAATTATTTTTATTTAATTTTGTTTGGTACATTGGTTAGTACCAAAAATGTCGTCTCCACATTTGACTAAAATAATCACTAATAACATAATAAGTTGTTTTTTGTTACGAAAAATCTCGCGCAACCTAGAATAATGCATTTTTCAAAAAATTATAAATTTTATAAAAAATTATTTTTGACAAAAAAAAATTGTTTTTTGGTCTGTATATATCGCCGTTTAGGAATGTCAGAAGCGTTTTGGCCTGTCGTCGCCTAATTCTATCAATTGACAAAATGACACACTGAACATGGCAAAAAGTGGACATGACAACCGTAAATAGAACGTCTAAACTACAGATTCACGCCCTACAGAACCCAAGAGAAATTTCACCATCAGGAATGTACTAAAGTTGAAACAATAATTCTGACAAGAGAAAATGTTCAGATTGGTGAAGCAGTACAGCTTCTTGCCATCTGTAGAATCGTACTACCTATTTGACCAGGCCAACTACTGAAGATCGCGAGAAGCCGAATGTGTCTGACATGCTAAAATAATCGGAACAACCCAATAAGGTTCACCACCCCAGTCATAAAAAGAAAATTTCATCATCAGGAGTGTCCCAAAACAGTCGATTTACCTTCAGAACTCGAAATAGCAGTTATAGCATTTGAACACGTTCTCCTGTCCTCATTGGGATAGCTTAAACAGTACAACATTTCTGCAGATAGATAAAATTTAAAAAAATCGTCGGATTTTACTACAAACCTACATTCTGTTTTGTTAATTTCTAATTCTATGAAAAAACAAAGACTGACCTGCCTGATGTTTGCATGAACAGTCTTGAGGTCATCTTCTATCAACCTGTAAGGATCGACGTTCTGGTAGTCGTGGGCAGGGCCGGTGCCTGGTTGTTGTGTGCTCAACCTCCTCTGGCCTTCGATAGCCCGTTCTTCGTTCTGGAAAAAATAAACTATAAGAAAAAATGAAATAACAATTATATAAAAAAAATGTAAAGGGATTGTTCGATTTTTACTGAAAAGTTCAAACAGTGACCGAGAAAAAGCTAAATTAAACGATTCGAACGTTGATCCCTCGGCCTTTGCTGGTTTTTGACCGACTTCGCATCCTCGATTTCGTAAACACACTTTCATAACTTCACTCGGTCACGTTCGGGTTTCCCTTAGAGCCGAGGAATGAAAAAAAAACCGTGTATGATTGTAATCTGTTTCGAGTGAGGTTCTGTGTCAGAATCAATCAGAGTCCAATGACAAATTTCTGTCTTGTTAAGTACAAAGAGGATATCGAGTTAAGTGACAAGCGTTGTAAGACAACACAGAAAGGATCGACTTAAAGGGGAATAAGTATTTACCGACTTTCCACTACTAGTAATTAAAAATCATGACAAATCTTTTTGCTTAACCAGTTTGACCATTTATTATTACACAATGTATTAAATAAATTACATTCTATAAAATTTTAAATTTTAACAAATGACTCTTAAAGTAAATGAACGAGGATCGCCAGCCAAGAGGCGGATATCCTTGAAAGAAAGTAGAAAGGTAAGTGTGATTTGCTCCCCACTCGTATAATGGTATGTATTAGGGATGGAAGCGAAAGCTATGGCTGATGTGTAACGGCCGCACTGTTTCAAATCGACCTAGAAAAAAAATATTTGTCGAAAAACTCTTCTCAGACCGATACGAACGAATCGTACGATCCGTGGTTTGTAATGAAGATGAAACTCTTTATCTTCATAGATGATGACTGTGTGGAAGCAAACCATCAACAATTGACCTAAAATGAGAATTCACTGTGCTGCAATTTGCAATCCGATGACGATCTGAGCCAAGGCATTTGCGAGAATATAAGTTTAAATCGATTTCAAATTAAAAAAAAAAACAATTATTAAAAATAAAATTTCATTTTTCACAGACGTTTGTAAAAAGTAAAAGGAACATTTTCCTAAGGACTTCTAATGTACTTTTTTTAATTATGCAAAAACAAAGTCATATGATTAACCTAATAAAGACAAATTTATAAAGAATATGTTTGTGTTTACTGATTTATTTATAATTCATAAACGACCATCGTCCTATGGTCATAAGATGTACTGGTTTTATTTTTGAAATAGATGTATACATTGTAAATAATTAATCTTTAACTAAGATATTGGTCGAGATAAAAAAGTCAGTGCCACGAGCGGGATTCGAACCCAAGACCTTCGGCTAAATACGCCGCTGCTCTACCACTTAAGCTAACGTGACTTCGATCCGCTCGGACACCAACTTCCCGACAACTTACACGACATTTGAAAAATGGCAAAAAGGAGGGAAAAATTAAAAAAAAATTGGGGTTGAGATGGAAAGTTGGTGTTCGAGCGGATCGAAGACACGATAGCTCAAGTGGTAGAGCAGCGGCGTATTTAGCCGAAGGTCGTGGGTTCGAATCCCGCTCGTGACACTGACTTTTTTATCTCGACCAATACCTTACTTAAAGATTAATTAATTGAAAAGAATTTAATTGGTCAATTGGACCACCAAACCTAATCGATTTAATAGTAAATAATTATAAAAGTAAATACGTACAGCATATTTATAATAAAAAATTAACATTGCGGAGTTTTTAAATATTCCTTAATTTATTGACAAAATCATCGAATTTCAAAAACGATAACAGCAAATTTTTATCTAAAAATTTTCCTGTCCTATGCGACTAGGCATTTAATTTTTTTAAATTTTTTAGGCATTTTTAATAAGTTGCCCGTTGCTCTGAGGCATTTCAAATTGTAAAATACGAAATCCTCATGTTTTTTCCATGTAAAAATTAAAATATTTTTTCCTGAGCCACCTAATGCCCTATGGGTCGGCATACTTTAAGAACAAAGTCTTCAGATATTCTGAGACTTTCCAAGTTATAAAAAATTCACAGAATTGTAGACAAAATGAAAGTTTCCATTTTTTGTTGGGTCTGATTGATTTTCATTGTAGTCGTAGAAAGGTCGCGGACCGTTCAGCGAGACTGTACGGACCAGAGCGAGCCAGTCATCCTCAAATTTCAGCCCGTCCGCCCAATCAGCAAGGAAACGAGAAGTAGAAAGTAGCAGGAAGTGGTCAATGGAATTCAACGCCTCCCGAATGGATGTATCGCCGTGGCATGCGTTCGGCCTAGAAATGAACGGGAACACTTGACGATGCCAAGCGGCGCCTTTTCTCAAGTCGACAGCCAAGCAATTACGTCAACCGAGAAACAAACGCTCATCGGTATTCAAACCGCGAATCCGCGGCGACAAAAATCACAGTCTTTTGGCCTCTGACTACTGCAACGTCATTAAAAAGCAAGAACTAAACAAATAAACCTTAACGGCAAAACCGTCGAGGGAATCGACCATGTTTAAACGGGACAAGGGTTTAGGGTCGTAGTTTTGACCACACGTGGACCTTCCTTTCTCCGGTCAACCCATCCTGCTCCATTATGTTAACAATTACAGGTTTACGTAACAAGTCCTTGAGACCTATAAAAAAACGATAGGGAGGAGTCGGGCTAGAATTATAAATTACAAAGATACCTTCGGGATGCTCGGGCCTAGACCACTCCTCACGCCTTATTAAAATCTTATGTCGAAACATATTGCCATAGTAAACTACAAATTACATTTGAGTCATAAAATACCTAACAATACAGACATCAATCATACATGCTTTTAAGCAATTTAATTTTAATTTTTTATTAAATATAAATTTTTCAAATTTAAAAAATAATGGCATAATTTGTCGGCCCTCTCTAATAAATTATGTAGGTTTCGATTGTATGTTTAGATTTCATGGCCGTGCATGGCAAACAGCTCGAAGAACAAGCTGCGGGCAAACATCTGAAATGATTAGAATAGACAAATATTTGGATACGTGGCTTTACGTCATTTGTAAATAAAGCTTCTCCCTATCAGTAATACAGGTAACAGATTTATTTAAAAAAATGTGTTTTTATATTTTTACACTTTAAAATGTAAAACGATTAAAATGTTTGTAAATTGAGAGGACTTGGTAGTTTTTTGTGAATCGAATAGCATATTATTATGTCATTGTCCATAAAAAGAACTTACAAGTTATTTATAAATATGCCTGCCACAAAAACCCGGCACAGATTTTATTATTTTATTTAAGATTACGTTAGAAATCGTATTGAACGCCCTCCATGTATGACAAGAATTACTTTACCCTTTTCCTGCCAGTCCGATATCTTATCGATATCAAGTATAATGATTATTTGGAGATCGTGAGGTGCGGTCTGGTGTAGTATAGGTTTTAGAAAAACATTTTCCTTATCATGCCAACGTTTCGATCGATAACATACATACATCATCATCACATCACACAAAACCTATAATGTAATATATAAAACAATCATATTCCACACATCGAACATTTCTACATAGGATAATTTTTCAACAATTTGGCTTTCCTTTCCCTAATTATCCCCGTCTATATAATCCTGAAAGGATAATCAGGCCGAACCATTAACCGAAATCCAACAATATATGTATACATAAAACAGCAATATCTCACCGGCACTCTCATCACGACAGATAAGGGCGCATCTACCCGGAAAACAAGCATTTTGTGTGAGTACATATACTTTGATTGAATCTAAAATTTCTAGAATTGTATAAATCCATTTATTTCACAAACTACATGTGTTTGTTAAATTTGAACAATGTTTATAAATCCCAGGCCCTGAAGATGATCTCAATAAAGATCGAAACGTTGGCACGACAAAGAAAATGTTTTTCTAAAACCTACGTCACACCAGACCGCAACTCACGATTTCTGAATAATTATCGATTAACGGGTACTAAACACCACACATCAAGTATAATGCAACGTATTTAATTTTCTAATGGGTTCGTATCTTTCTCTGTTTGTTAAGGTGTTTTGTGTTTTCCTGTCATGCCTGACTTTTGTTTATTACTTTACTAAACGTTCCAGTTGTTGTTCCAATGGTACTTATTTTAGACTATCGTCATCTGTATGTATGTATTTGAATTTATTATTATGTGTGTAGTTTGCCGTTTGTTTTCTGTTTACAGGTTTTACAAATTAATTTAATATTAATAATTCACCCTTTTTGCAAAGTAAATTCATCCTTTTGCTAATTAATTCCGTCTTTTGCAAATCAACTTTACCCTTTTGCAAAAGAACTTCTATGCATACAGATCAAAGTCTTATGCAAATGAAAATCGCGAAAATCGCGTTTCCATAGTCACTTTTTCCTGAACCGATTTTTCAAATATTTTTTGCAATTTTTCATGAAATCGAATGGATTGGTGAATATGCAAATAAAAATATACCATTTGAAAAAGAAAAAAATCATTTTTAAAATGTTTTAAGGATTTAAAATATACTTTATTTTATAATCTAATATATTTACATGTATGTTAAAAAAATATAGGGAAAAGAATAAAATTCCGTTTTTTTTTTTTTCAAATATACAAGATGTATCAACTTCTATAGTCCATCCATTTATTGGGTTGTCCGGAAAATAATGCAGGATTTTGGTATTAAACAAAAAAAANAAATGAGTAATCCTGTAAACGTAAACAGAATATTTTATATAGATTTTTTTTAATGAAAACTTAAAATCCTGCATTATTTTCCGGACAACCCAATAATTCCGAAATTATTATCTTTAGAAAAAAAAATAGAAATAGGGTAGGTCATATTGTTGTTAGAAAAAGCTAACCCCCTCACGTTCGATCGTACCAAACATTTTCCTTTCAGTAAAGTTGGCACGAAATAAGCTCTACAATCGAATTGTAAAAATGGGATTCTCATTTAAAATAACAAAGTTAGTGTCATTTCCCAGCTAGATGAGAAAGTTATGTTAAATCTGTTACGACCACGCTATTCCTAGCTAAAATTAACTTGGGGTTTGTATAAGACGATTTTTTTCTTAAGGTAAC